AAAAAAAAAAGAGAGATTAATCGTTTAAATGAGTGGCTGGTTGCAGAAAGTAGGTCCCTACTTGGCCATATATCTATGGGCTTCTATGCTTGTTCTGTCACTTGTCACGGTGACCTTGTTATTGAAGGTATCATTAGTTGATTTCATCATATTGTCCGTAAATTGAATCCTACGTTCTCTTCCTTTACAACTCTAACCTTGGAAAAGTCTTAGTTTAACGTACTTTTAATTAATTTGTATGTATAACGGCTAATGTTATTCCAAATAAATCGTTGTGTTGGCAGATATCTGGTTATCTACCTATAGTGATAAATTTTGTCTGAATGATGTATGTATATAAAGTCATATATGATAAAAGTTGATTGATTTCTTGAGGTGGATACATAATAGTTAGCTTTAAACTTTGTTCAAGTGTGTTCATATGCCTGGGATTGACCATCTTGTTCCAAAACTTAAAAAGCCCCTTTCAGATTCAGAATTTTGATCCTATTGCAACTTGATAACTCTGGAATATGAATTTGTAAATAATTTAGATTTAGAAATCCTCAACAGCAAGTAGAGAATGTAAATTAGAATACCTAAAACCCTCTTATTGGAGTCCAATGAGGCTTTTTTGTACTACACTTTTCAAATTTTTAGCATAATTGGTGAAGTTTACGACTTTGTAACTTTTCACTTGTCGTCCTTCTTTACTCTGGATATCACAAAATTACTTATTATTTCCTATTTTATCTTGATATGTCTCCTAAGTTCTGCAGGATGTGTTCAATCTACTTCCGTATTTCAACGTGTTTGAACTAATTAAAGTTGTTTTAGGTAAATTAGCTGGTGGTCAATTGTTATTTACATTTTTTCTCCTTGTTGACAACTGCATTCTGCATTAGGATTCATGTGGCCTACATATTAATATTCCTGGGCACCAAGTAGCATTAACATGAACGTGAAAGCATTTTCTTCAAATATATAGTGTTTTTTCTCCTTAAATTTGAATTCTAATTGCTTCATTTGAATAAATTGAAGCATCAAGTAGGTAGTAGCACGTACTCATTGAAGCCTCAAAGTGGAAAGTTGAAAGTATTGTTCAACTCTTTTTTTTTTTTTTTTTCATGAATTTCAATTACAAATTCCTTGTCCGAGTTAACTGCAGCATCAAGTAAATATTAATACGAGCCACAAAAGAAGGATTGGAAATTTAGCTTGTGTGTTGTTTCCTGAACTTCAATTGCATTTAATCTAATTAAGTGATTCTTTTTGACACTGAATTGTGAAGTCAACATTACTATAGACATAAAAGTTGGACTGGCTTGAGACATCACGTTTCAACAATGATCATTTCCTTCAGAACTTAAAGAGTAGGTGAACATTTATAAATTAGTGAAATAAGATTTTTAAGGATGTTAATAATTTTTTATTGATTTCTCTTGGCTCTTGCATCTATTATTATGAGTACTATTTTTTCAAGAACATTGTTTCATAAATAATTCGGCTAAAACTGGCTTCTTGCAGGGTTTTCTCCTGAATGTAACTCCATGTCAGTGGATGTAATATGGAAAGCATTTTAGGCAACAGAAGAGGGATATATCGGTGGTTACTAAAAAATGGTCAATGAAATCGCAATTGGCTAATATTAGTTCCTGTTGACTGGTGGGTGAGATTTGTGATGGTATTCTTTACATTGCTAATCTTGGTGATTTCCGACAAGTGTCAGGAAGAGTTGTTAGAGCAACTGGAGAAGTTCTTGCTATCTAGCTGTCGGTTGAATATAATGCTAGCATAGAGTCAGTCAGACAGGCGTTGCATTCTATGGACCCAGTCACCCGAATGACTTAAAGATAGTAGTTCTTAAACATAATGTGCAGTGTGTGAAGGCTTGATACAGGTCTGTTCTTTGCATAGTTGGAATGGGGTCCAAATGCATAATTGATTACATTTCCATGGAAGAATTGACAACATAAATTGGCATACGATAATGATGCGACATTACTTTAGTAGATTCTTATAAAATGTTGTACAATGGTGAAAATTAGTTGAGCATTTGTTGAATTATGTAACCTAAGCAACTATCATCCAACATTACAAAGGTAATATGCCTCTGGCTTTCTGATGCATATGTGCTGATAAAATATAAGTTTCTTGTTTACGTTTTTATATAATATCTTTTTCCATTTTGTGCTCAGGTCGATTTTTCTTCGTTCGCAAAGAGCCAACATCCAAGTAGTCTCCTTTGGTTCTGGTAATTCACTATCAAAATGGTGGGATATGATAGAGATGTATGCAAATACTGCACTACTAATCTTATGCTTTGAAGGTTTCTTATACATTGCGCTTTTATTCATCACTATTCTGCTATTGTAGGAATATGAAATTTAGATCAGTAACAGGATGGAGAGGAGCACGAGGAATAGGGCTATGAAGGTGTGTGCAAGCGAATGGGAATACGACTACGAAAAATATTAGCTATCATCTCGCAACTAAGCGATAAGTGGGTCTTTAGGCTTCTACGAAATCATGCTTACGTATCTTTCATGCTTGTTTGCAGTTGTTTGTTGTCATATTTCTTTTAATTTATTTTCCTTTTTCCAAAGTGAAATACACTTGATTTTTATTTATATAGATTTTCCAACAATAACACAATGACCATGTAATGAAGATGCATCCATCAGATGTTCATAGCTTAGACAAGTTGATTAGAGACAAGCACAAGATGCTTCACATGTTGCTGCCCTTGTCCTAAATGACACTCTAATGTAATTTTTTCTCTCTCTCTTTTTCTTTTTTATTACTACGCTCCTGCAAACAAGTGCAATAGTTTATGTTTATGTTTAAATTCTTAATTCAACTTTGTCTTCCAATTGGAAAAGCTAGATTAAATTATCCAAGTCCACTGTACTTCTGTTTTCCATCATACATATCAATAACTT